CTGGATTGAGTATAACAGCTGTGAGATGTGTTAAGACCAGGGCATCAAATACTGTTTACTAAAGCTGCTGGTGTCTTAATGAGATACATTTCCAGCGTCATCAGTTATGGTTGTAGGAGGATGGGCCTTTCAGTCCCAACTCATCATAAATCGGGGCCTCAACTTTGCATTTAATCACACAGGGTCAGCGTAATTCTTGATCCCACAATCCCATCCAAAACATAACCACGTAGTTATTCCAAGCCTGAACCAAACGAGTGAGCAAAAGCCAAAAAGCAAAATAAGGCCAATGCCAGTGGACATGTTGATGTGTTGGATCATCAGGTTTTCTGACGGAATAGCGGCATCGTACAAAATTACTGCAACAAATAAAATCTCAAAATGCAGCAGAATCTCATAGGAAGGGACACGCAATTTCCACTCAGTGTGGCTCAAACCTTGTGTTTGTGAGGGGCAACCAATCAGAAGAAAGCGGCCTTAAAGGGAGGGCAGGGCTAAGAGGGAGGAGTTATTTATATTTACCACAAGTTATTTAAGATAAACAAGACAGATAACAGTGTGAGATAAATTAAATTATTTTGAACTGTCAATCATGCAGCGCTGTTCTCGCACTGTGTAAGAATAAAATATTGAACTGGAAACTTAAAATTATAGGTCCATTTAAAACAGATAAACCAGTAAACAACTAGTAGAAGCATAGTGTTTCAATGTTGCCTTCTGGCAAACACTTTAAAACAATAGTACCAGCCTTATTACTAATATTTCAGTAAGGTGTAAAGTTTTCTGTCAGTGGTTCTGACTGAGGTGAAACATGTTCAGGCGGGCTGAGAATGCACCACCTTAATTTGAAAAATATGCGTGACACAGTAAAGGGAAAGTCAATCTGTATTTGGTTTCCCAGCCATCAGCAGAAATCAAACAGGTAGGACAAGCTGAGTAATGGCTTTTGGTTTCCCTGAGCTGCATACTTGACAGATGCACCAATCTGCTCATTAGATCTAAACATTTCTTGAGCGGATGGAGACAGGAGAGGAAGTGTCACATGCATCTTAAGAAATCATGTATCCTTAGAAGCACAATTATTGATTTGATATGTTTTAGAGTAATTCTAACCAAAAAATTAGCATGCCATTTAAAACTGGATGCAGTAAATTGGCATAACCTCTTCAAACATGTTCTACAAAGCAGACAAACCTCTGGGTTGTCACTATCCATCCATTTTCTCACACTTAATGTAGGTCTAGTTTGACTCGTCTCTTCCTCCCATCAGTCGATCAATGGATAGTGATAGATGGATGCTGTTTTTCAAATGCCAAAACTTTCAGGAACTTGAACCAAGTGGTTTTAAAGTCTAAAACTGACAAGACCTGAGAACCTTGGCTGAATGCTGCTGCCTAGACTCCTCACCTCTGTACGTCCACTGTGAACTGTGACCTTAGGCCTATATAAGGTTCTCCAAGCACAGAATCATGGCCCTAAAATAACTCTTCACATAATCAATGGAAAATGAAAAGCTGTAAAATGCCATCTGCGTTTGGATGTTTCAAACAGGAAGGCTGTCAGCCAGTTCGCCTTCAGAACGCATCTGGTGGTAAAACAGGAAAAGTCCATTCTGACTTGGAAAATCTGCACGGACGAAGATTCAACCTGAAGTCGGAAAATGTTAGTGACCTAAATAAAATAAAAAAACTAAATCTTTGTTGGTTGCCAGAAAACTAAGGTCAGTGGTTTGACCTTATATATTTCACTGCAGTTCACTTGACAAGAATACTTCGAAATCTCCGCTCACCCCCAACCGGTTGCAGCTGAGTTTTTACTTCCCACTGTTGCCAAGTGAAGCTTGAGGAAGTTATTTTGGCATACAGTAAGTGCCCAAGGAGGAACTTTTACAAGAATGAATGGGGAACAACCCTGTATCAGTTTCTATTGCTCCTTCTTCACATCCACGAGCTAGTCCAGCATTATTGTTCGTCTCCAGCACTGCTCCTGCCTGGGTAAATATATCCACTCGGAGGCAGATCAGGGCTGCATCATCCCTGGCTGTCACATTTTCTTTTGAACCAAGTAAACACTCTGTGTCACTTGGGGAGGCTGCTGTATTGTTAATGAGAAACAGTAGAAAATGCTGCTGTTTCTCTTAGGTTTCCTGCATACATGCTGTAGTTTATTCAGAGTTTGCTGCTGAAGCATCCAATTCACACTGTTTCTTCTGCACGCCTAATTGTATCTTACAGAAACTGCATTTAGCATTAACATCTGACAACACAGGATTAGAGCTTAATGCATGGGGTGAATTGTTATTCATTTATTTAGTTTTGGCAAAATATCGATCATGTATATTATGTTCAGAGGGATTTCTAAGATCCGATATGTTAAGAAATTATTTTAATTAATAGTGAAATTTTCAGCGACAGTCGTGTAATTGTTTATCACACGTTAACTGTCATCAGTTTTAGGTTAGTGGATGGATTTATGTTGAAACTGTAATTAAAAGATCTTGCAGATCTTCTTTGCATGGTGGTTTGTAGATGATGTTTGGTAAATTCAGTCTGTCAGGAGTAAAGCTCTGCATCTTCTACATAATATTAATATCATGTACAGCAGCTCACCAGGCAGCCCCACATGTTCGATTTGACAGATTTTTATACCACATGTTCCTGACTCAGCTCCAAAAAGCCTCCTCCTGAGACTGGAGCAGCGTCTCACTATGTGCCCTGATAGAAAAGATCCTGTGATCATCTCCCAGTGGTGTCTTCTTCAAAGGCTGTTTTCTTGTATTTGTGTCAGTGTTGACTTGGACATAAACCACTACAGTGGACACTGATGTGTCACTCCATACCCTGCCATGTTTAAAAAAAATGAAAAAAGTACATGTATATAAGTTAAAAAATGATTTTTTCATGCCTAAAGATGAATAAAAATACTTCCCGATTGAGGTTTTCATAATTAATGCATGAAAGCGTTAATGCTCCTTGTTATTGCTAAACTTTGCTTACCTGAATTACAGAGCTGAAGTTCGTAAACCCTTCATCCAGGTTTGATGCGAACGTCCTCAAATTAAAGCTAGTAGTCGGCACAATAGCCTGAACATGGTTTAAACAGCAAGAAAATGTGCACCCAAAATATAGGAATCAAACTTTATGTATGCTGAGAATGAAAGAATGAAAAAGAAATATAATTTTGCCTTTAGGAAAGATCAAGGCCGGGAATAAAAGTCTTTGACTGATCAAAAGCCTGAGCCGCTCATTATTCTCCACAGTAGGCCCAAGAAACAAACAGAGGCCTCATGTAACGTCAATAATGCTGCAATTTTAAACTACAGCAGAGAGTCAGCAGCAGCAAAATATATTCGCGCACTTTAGTTTATCCATAGAGAATCTATTAGAGATAGACATGGCCACCATAATATACATTTGACTGGCTTTTAGCTTTGATGACAACTGAAGGATGCTGCACATTTTATTTTATTTTATTTTATTATATTTTCCCCTACTGTATCATGCTGCTGAGTGACTGCTGCTCGTCAAACACATTTCATTGCAATGTTGACCCTGTGCTAACTTGCATATTACAAATAAAACTGAAAACTGAAAACATTCATAAAGCATCTTGTAAATAACCCAAAGTCTATCTTTATTTTACTATAATGAGACATAATTAACATTGTGTAAGATGTTTAACAAGTGACTGAGCTGGAAACTAACAATTGAATTTGAAAACTAATTTCTCAGACATCTGTACAGTCAGGCTTCTTTTTGCAACCAGATGACTGAACCCCTGCTGGCCGTTATAAAGAATGCAGTTTCAAGGCACTTCAAGATTGGTTCACTGTTCAGACCTGGAATAATAATAATAATAATAATAAGTCACATAAAAACTGTAATAATCACCAGTGTGAGAACCTTCACAGACACCAGTGTGATGTAAGCAGCTGTTTCTCACTCAAAGATTGACATATTATTATATAATATTATTGAGAAAGAAAAACCTCACCTGGTAGAAAATGTATTTATTGAAATTGTAAGATGTCAAGTATGAGCTGTAATGAGATTGCTGAAACTTGGATCCCCTGTCATCATCAGTTGTTCGGTAACAGGAAACCCAGCCACACTTCTCAGGATACTGTAATGTATATAGCCCCGCCTTCCTCTGTGACCTCATGTATACAAATTAAAAAATGTCCACGCTGAACATAAAGAATGTAAGTGGAATTCATGGCAGAGCAGTGTGGGTGTTTTTCTTGGGTGATTTCTTCCATTTGTCTGCAGATGTGTTCTCACAGGCTTGTTAGTGTGTTGCAGGGGATCGAGTGCAGTTCAGTCAGTGAAGGCTTGACTGCAGAGAAAACAGACTGCTGAGTAAATATCTGCAAGTCTGTCGATGATTTAATGTGCATTTTTTCTGTAAATGCCCCAAGGCTGCAGCAGCTGGACAACTGCTTTCCCAGGATGCTTTACAGCTCAAAGACCCAGGAGGGTGTGTGTGTGTGTGTGTGTGTGCGCGCAGCAACTTGGGCAGATTTCCAGATGGTACCATTCCTGTGCCGTCCTGGAGCTGTATGCATACACTCACACAGAGATATTAGAGATATGCGCGTGTATACTTTCTCTGACTTGCACATTCGTGCTAATAACCCTGCTCTGGTTTTCACCTACACCCCGAAATCCCTCCGGGTGCATTGTAGCCTGGTCTGTTTCTCATTAATGTGTCTGATGTCTCTCTGTGGGTCACTGTAGCTTTGCACTCTGTACAGTAAAACAGAGTGACGCACAAACAAAGAGCCAATGCATGATTTCTACATATCTGAGGAAGACGTCTCCCAGGTGTTTTGATCCGAGGGGAACGTCGGTCAGGTGGAGTTCCTCAGTTCTTTTGTTAGGATCAGTTTGCATGATGGAAATTGCACAATGTGTCACAAAACGGCCGGAGGCCGAGCACCAAAATTCAAACCCACGTGCAGAAAACCCAAGGCGGAGGCAGAGTAAAGGGTTTAACAAAGGTTTATTTACTAACACCAAAAAATGACGTGGATTGGATTTAAGGCTTGACACGTGGGGTGTGAGGGTATTGGCCAGGGGAGTGGGGATAAGCAGGGGACAGGTCCAAGAAAGCAGCGGCAGCTGGCTGGTGATTAGGTACGTACTGGAAGAGAGGAGAGCAGTGTTAGAGCGGTAGCCAATGAAGGGTTCTGGAGAGGGTGGAAGATATGAAAATCGTCGTCTTACTGTGCAGGTGAGAGATGGAAGCGTTGAGGGAGAGGTGATGCGGTCCGGGTGGGTTTGGTGGTGTGTGGCAGCTGTCCTGAGCGACGAAGGTCCAGAGGTGGTGTAAGGGCAGGAGGGCAGGCAGGTGAGGCAAGGAGATGATTCTGAAAGCAGGCGGGTTAACCAGATTTCCAAGACGAGTGGTTCAGTGTGATGGAGTTTTCCTGGAGTAACTAGAACACGAGATTACAAGGTTAGTAGAGCACTTGAGATTCATAGACATGATGCGTGAGGCCTGGTTACCAACATAGGGTAGTGGACGAATTGGCGAGGATGCAGTGTCAGCAAGCAGCTTAGATCTCCAACCTGATTGCTTCAATCAGCTTCAGGTGAGAGAGGCTGTAGGCCCTGCCCATGGGTGGATACCAGGGAGGTCCAGACCTTCAATGGAATTTTACAGCCACACACCCAGACCATGACACAATGTTTCTTTGATACGTAACTCTGCAAACACACAGCTGCACACGTGGACACAAACAGGTATGAGACGATGAAAATGCTGGAAATGGAAATCAATGAGCTAACAGCTTTTGTCTTAATATATCAAAGTCCCTCCAGAAGCAAGTCTTGGTGCTCAGCAGCCATCTTTGAAACTTCTGGTAAGGTATTCTGAAGCTCTTTAATTAATATGAAGAGAGCAATAAAGTTCATCTCAATGGTCACCAGGAAATAAAAACTGCACAGAACAAATAGTCTAATCAGATTTAATAAATGCTAAAAGTTTACTGGCTCTGATCAAAATAAGGATCAAAATGTGTCCCTTGCACAAGTTTCACTTCTACAAGACATGCACATAGTTACACAACAGTATGTTTAATTAACAGCTCAGATCCAGAGAGCCAGCACAGTCAGTGGCTCTGTCTCCTCCTGCATACAGGAGGGAAGCAAAAAGAAAGAGAAATCTCCCCTTTAAACTTCCCCCTTTAAGTGTAAAGAATTACAAGTGTATAAAAAAAATCTGCATAATGACATACTGTATTCTGTTTCTGAAACAATCCCCAGAGCAGGCGTTTAAAGGGCGTTCTCACAGAGTCCCTGCTTCTGGCACCGTCAGCGGAACAAATAGGCCGTTAGAACACTAAACATCTGATTTGCTCACTGCACCACCGAGGATTTCCTCAGCCTGCATATTTCATTCTGTTTAACTGTCTGCCATTATTCATTGCTGCAGTAAAATTGCAACGCTGCTCGTATCAATACTGCAAAAACCTGCTGGACAGAGTGGAAACGTTTTGATGTGGATGCTAATGCAAGTTTCAGCCACGGAAGCCAGTGAGTCCCAGGAGCATAAAACTACAGTTAGTGCTAAAGATGGTCTACTGAAAAAACCCACACTTACCAGCAACTGGACAACGCAAGATCACACCCACCTACGAGCAAGCACTTGGTGATAGTGGGAAGGAAAAACTCCCTTTTAACAGGAAGAAACCTCCAGCAGAACCAGGCTCAGGGAGGGGCGGGGCCATCTACGGCCATCATTACATTCCATGTAAAGTCTGTTATGTATGATTGGTCTGTAGATGCACTCCAAAAATCAGGTACCACAAATCTTCTCCATGCATTCATATGATGCATGTATGTTTATACAGATTACATACTGTACATGGAAGTTAGCACGTGACATCATATTGCGGGTGAATGCTGAATAGGCAGATTTTTTCAGAAAATTGAATAGATTAAAAGACACTAACTGAAAAGGTTATTTTTCAGATTAAAAGTTGCCTTCACTGCTTCTCTGTGCTTGCAGTAAACAGATTGTGCCTGTTGAAAGTCAGGCTATTAAATCCATTTAGAGTGCGATGCTAAAAGTCGAAATATTTTGAAGTGAAGGCACTCCGTGCCGTGAAAACATGCCACACTCTCAGCTCTGTCAAGCACATGAAACAGCAGCTCGTTTATGGAGAGCAGGAGGCGGCAGAGGAGGTTTCTGCTGCCGTGTTAGCCGGGTTTTGTCAGCTGACTAGTTCATCTGCCAGAGGCTCGTGTTGGTTTCTCAGCCAAGAGGCAGACCTCTCTTAAAACTGAACTAAAGAACCAAAAACACTCGTTTGATTTACATACAGCACACACATGTACATCGTTCACGTTCATGGTCACATTAGAGATGGCTGGCCGTAAAAAAAGTTCATGTGTAATGTGTGGACACTCATTTTCCTCTCTCACATTATTTTTTCATCAGTTCAATCCGGCCCATCTTCAAGAGTTAGCACGAGCTGTGCTGTTTAGTGTTAGAACATGTCTGGTTATAGTATCAGTAAGATTGATGGTCACTCCCAACATGTCATGTATCAATGAGGAGGATTACTATTGTACAGAGATGTGTTTCAACCCACCATCTTTCCCTAAGAAGGCAGGTTTTAGTTCCTGAGCCTAACCAGCAAGTGGAAGCGACAGTAAAGTGAAGAAAAAAAAAAGAAACTGTGTCCAAAACAAAAAGTTCTCAAGCAGACACGAATCGGTGTCCGGTTTGCTGCTAATCCTGGAAAGTACACCTTCCTATGAGGATTTTGGACATCTCTTAAACATGGCTGTTATCTCTTGGCAGCTGATGCAGCTGTGGCTGGAATGTCAAGAGTAGCCATGCTAAAGGACACTGTGTGCATAATGGAGAGACACAGCGAGTACCTGACAAAGCAGCACTGTACAGGAAAACGGTGCGCACATCGTTCCCTCAACAAGTACAAGATACTTCACTCGACTGCAAAGCATGAATAACGGTAAAGGTGTTGTGTTCATGTCATCGGTGACACAACCAGCTGGTGGGAAAAATGAGTTTATGTGAACTGATGTTGAGATTTAAAGCACAATCCTGACAAAGTGCAAGATTGACGTGCACTTTAGGTCCCGTGACACACCTGGGCTAATATGGTCCCTCGCTATAACGCGGTTCACCTTTCGTGGGTGGCCTCGCTGTTTCGCAGATTTTTTTGTGTGTGCAATTTTGCATGTTTTTTTTGTTTTGTTTTCGCTTTTTTTTTTTACACCGCATTGTGTTCTGTGTCCTGATTGGCTGTAGGCCATTGTCAAACAATCCCCTCCGTGCCGTGTCTCCTTTACAGTACAGAATGTGTTCAGCTTGTTAAACATACGTAAATCTTTGATCGCTAGCAGTGTGGAAGATGCTAACCATCACACAAAAAGTTGGACTTGTGGATGTGCTAAAGGAGGGTAGTATGGAAGGTTTTGGATTATAAGGCGCATTAAGCGAAACAAAACAGTCAGGCTTGCCTGGAACTCTGAAGTCTATACCTAAACGCCATGACCAAAGATGAAAATGAGAATTGATACAACTGCAGAAGCTGGACTGCAACATGTTCACAGCTCTGCTACAGTAATACGCTTTACCCTGACCACTGCAGACTTTAGTCAAACTGTCACTGAACAGGAGAAACTAGTAATGCATCATCCACCATGTCAAATCAACAGTGGCACTATGTCGTGCAGCAAAGACAACTGTTTTATTAGCGTGGCTGTTTCTTTATATTCATGTTCAGTGATAGAGTAGAACGACTTGTTTCTGTTTTAGGGGTCGTGTAATGGTTTTATGCAAAATGGATGCAAAAAACGAAGGTTGTGCAACATTTGCGCACAACCTGAGAACAAATTCCACCTGAAATTCACAAAATATCAGCGCGGCTGTCAAACACGATCTTTCCAAATATCACGCTTTCTCTGCAGCCCTGTGACTCATCACAGGCACTAATAGAAATGTCAGAAACACTGCCTTTACAGCCTCTTACTCATATGAAAATGTGACATGTAGCATGAAATTGTACCAAAAGCTACACACGAACACCTGTGTTTGAAGCTCGTCTTACTGCCTGCTGGTTCCTGAACATGCTGCTTCATTTACAGCTCCGCACCGCGTGAGGGAACGCTGCCTTGATTTGGTTAAGTAAACAAAGATGACTGCAATCTGCGAAAATTAACTTCTAAATGCACGAGTCTCCTCACAGACGATTTTCGGATGTTAAAAGCCCTCTTTTTAGAAATTGCACTCAGTAAACCTGCTGTGGCCCTGCTGGAGACTGCACCGTCTGCAGGTCTTCACTGCACGTTCTGTCTGCGATGCCTTTACCTGCTGGATTCATAAGCCCGTTGGACGTGTCGAGTCGCTGTGACATTTAATTTAATTGAATGGATCTGAATTCACCATTTAACATGTCTGCAAGTGTTTGCACGGTGCTCCTTGGAAAGGGCATAAGTAGACTTCTTGTTCAGTTGAAACTCAGCACCCCCCCCCCCTCTCTCTGTTCGCTCCATTTAACTGAAGCCACCAGCTACATGAATACCCATGAACAGCCAGGAGCTCTGCCAACAGCTCCATTACAATCTGCACTCTACCTCCTCTTCATCCCTCCCTCCCTCTTTGTTCTCTCTCCATCGCTTCACTCTTTTCCCCTGCTCTTCTTCTCTTGCTTCAAATCTCTCTCTACCTTGTACTCCATGGCCAAAGTATGGGGACATCTGAATGTTGCACCTGTACAAAGTCCACTGATAGTCTGGTATCTAAATAGACACGCCGGCTCCTCGTTTATGTGATACTGATAGATGCCAAAGTAGTAACTATTTCTAGTTTGCATAGATCTGAAAAGGAGTTACTCAAAGTGTCACAGGAAGCCCATTTTGATTGTTCTTTATCAGCATGTCAGTAAAATTTACTGTTTTGCAGATAAAGTGCAGTCGTATACTTTTTTTTCAGCTTCTCCTCACTGACGCCAAATTTAAGCTCCTGTAAATCTTGTTTGTAACCTCTCATCTTGCAGCAATAATGCACGCGTGAACTCAAATCATTCCCTACACAGTCTGTAGCCTGAAGCTCTCCACTGTGTTTGTGGTGTTGATGCCTTTTGGAATATTTTAATAGAGTTCTGTGAAAACTAATGTGGCTTTCTCTTGCAAATTCTAGGATTTTATTAATCTGTTTAGTCAGCAGATTCGCGTGTCTGGGCTTCACACCTGTAAAGTTCATGAATGCAGCACGCTAACCAGGCTAGCTAGCTCTGCCCTCTGGTCACGTGTGGCTAAAACAAATCAGCAGTAAATCCATCATTTATATACAGTCTGTGGTTAAACTGTGATATCAGTGCACTGGAAACAGACAAACGTTTATCTGTCACTGCTGGTAACAATTTCAGCAACACAGGCCCAAATACCTCCGCTCTGACCCTACACCCCCCTCTGACCACATGCTCCTTTCATTCAAACTGTGCAGCTCTGCAGCAGTTTGGACAGCAGGCTGTCTGTCGCTCACACATCTTTAACCCGGACGGACACCAGAGAACACGGCACGCTTTTGACTTTTGTACAGTTTTATGAAATTGTAGCTTTCATGCAACTTTGCCCAGGTGTCTAAAAAAGTTGCTAGCTGTCTCTGTAACCCAGGACTTCCTCCCTTCATCGAAACTGAGAGG